AACCTCGGTCTTGCTCAAGCCGCTAAGATTTTGGGGTTTCCCTCACACACTGCCCCGCTCCCTGATTTCCCAGTGATAGAGCGGCTGGGAGTCACCCCTAAATGGCTGATCAAAGAAGGGGTTTCTCGGGGCAATGTTTGATCTGAGCCCTGACATCGAGGAACCAGCTGGGGGAGACTGGGGAGGGTGCCTACGCAGGTGGGGAGAGACAGCAGGGATGGTGCAGGCGCCTTGGTGGAACAGAAGGAGGGGGCTGCGCAGAGGCAGGAGGAACCCGGAGTGGGGAGCGGGCGTGACTGCACACGTGGGGAAGCCATGAGGGCTTGCGCATGGGGTAGTGGTGTCTTCTTGCTTAGGTTTCTAAAAGATCGCACTGAGTGCTGGGTCACACTTGCATCCTAGGGGGCCTGAGTGCAGCCAGGAGGTGGGGTGGGAGGCTCCGGGGGTGACGGAGTTGCGAACCAGGGCCTGGGGAGAGGGCCGCAGAGATGGGGAGGAGAGGATGGAATGCAGGGGCGTAGCCTCGGGACCAACCCTTCAGGATTGGATGCGGGGGTGGGGGGTGAGGAGGGAAAGACAAGAATCAAGGAAGCAGCTTGGCTGAGGGGCATGAGGGCCTGAGTTAATGAGGACTGGCGGAGGACCGAGGCTGCACTTCTTTGTGTAGGGGGAGTAGTTAGTGTGAAATAATACTGTTGGTGTGTGTCCCTCAGATCGCCTTTCTCAAATGTTGCCTCATCTATGCTTTCAGCAGCGGGATAAGGGACTGATATTTGATCGATTCCATTCAAAGTCAACAAACATATATGAACTGGCAACTATAGGCAGAGCTGTGGGCCAGGTTTAAGGGACTGAGTGACATTCCCAATCCTTGGGGTTCAGGGTCTGTGGAGGAGAAAGACAACAGTCACGGACCATCCCAGGAGAGCACAGACAGGTGATGACACAGCGGGGCTTGGCCGGAGCCATCTCTACCTGCGGGGGGCAGGGTGGGGGGACACAGTGAGGGGAGGAAAGCTTCACAGAGTCAGAGCTGCAAGAGTCAAGCCCTGAAGGGTGAAGCTTCAAAGCTTCAGTCCAGCAGATGGGGAAGAGAAGGGTGTCGCAGACAAGGAAGCGGCACGTGCAGAGACGCAGAAGCCCAGAGAACACAACCTCAGAGAAGGGAAGCGTCACAGCTCTGAGAGCTCACAGCCCCGCCCTGAGGCCCCTTAGCAGATCCCACCTCCCAGGACGCCCCACTGCGATGAGCCCCCAGCTCTGGAACCTGACCTCTGCCCTCCTCCCTCTTCCCCATTTGGGAAAACCCCACCCCTCCTCCCTCTTCCCAGACCACCAGCTCTCAGGGGATCCTGCCCGACCTCTGCAAAGACACTCAGAGTGACTTATCTTTGCACAGATCTGCCCCAGCTGCTTCAGACAGGCAGAAGCTTCCAGAATGCACCCCCCATGGTCCAGCCAAGGGTGCTGGGGATGTGAGTAATGGGGTGCAGGGCTCCAGGGGAGGGAGTCTGGACAGACTCACCCCTGAGCACCTTTCCAGCTCCAGTCCCATCCCCACCCCCATTCCCCTACTTCCTGCCCCCCCACTCTCACACCCCTGCTGTTCTCATGACTCGCCCATGTACAATGTGCCCAGGTGACTGTCCCACTTTCATGAGCCCCCAGACTGCTCAGCGCCCCCAGCTCGTGCTGCGCTTACACCTTTTGCTGCCTCTTCTGCTGATGCGCATCCCTAAGACTCAGCTCCGAGCACTCCCGGGGGCGTCCTCTCCACGCCCCCAATTACTTGCCCATCAGGCCCCCATTCTTTGTTCACATCCCTTGTCATCCCACTCTGGTCCTCACGCGCTGCTACCTGTTCTCCCTACAGGACGTGAACTCCCTGAGGATGGAGGCTGCGTGGCCGTGGCCACCTGACACACAGGTGGCGTTCAGTCCCCATGGCTCCTTCTCCCCACTCACAACTCCGTCTCTTACCTGAGTCCAGAGAAGTTTATGTTTTTAGCTCCTTCCCTCTTGGCATCCTACTTGGTCTTCGCAATGGCCCAGAGAGGAAAACCAGGACCAGAGAGAAGCTGAGGCCAACTCAAGGTCACAGAGCCTAGCAGAGCCCCCTGCTGCAGCGGTTTCACTAAAGTCACTCATGCCAGCCGTGAGGCACTTCCTTCTAGTACAAAATCCTAGTGGCCCCAGTCCCTAGTCCATGGGGGCACAGAAAGTCACATCATCAACACGGAATACCTGTGGGCACCTCCAAATCACCGGGCCAGACCCTGTCCCCTCTGCCAGCCTCCTGGCTCCCTTTAGTGGGTCACCCATGCCATCTCGACCTCTACTCCCCTCAGCTACAAACCATGGTCTACTTTGTGCTGAATATGGGCTCAGACTCTCCCTTCAGTTCCCAGGGGGGAACTGTTCAGCAAGGCCTTGCTGGGGGGTTTGGGAGAGCAGCTGAGAATCACCCAGCCGGCACCAAAGAGCAGGGATTAGACGACAAGATAGGTCTACCTTCAGCGGTCGCAGGCTCACACTGCTCCACCCAACACTTCGTTGCTGAGCCCATTGCAAGTGAGAGCTCACCTAGTCTCCATGAAACCCCCTCTCCCACCTGGAGTCTCAGCCTCTCCTTCAGGCCGAGTGGGAGAAAGCAGCCTCCCCTTCCGGGACCCACGGCCATGCCCCTGCTTCTCGCCGAGGACAGCCTGCGCCCCAGGGTGGCCAAAAACGAGAAAGTCTCGTCCCTACCGGAGAACCTCACTCCCTGCCCGCGGAGCCTCCCTTTGGGACCCCAGGCTTTCTGACCACCTCCGTTCTGCCCAGGGACGTGGCTAAGGGGAGGCAAGACTTCCTCCGGTCTTGTTTATCCAGTGCCTGGCCCTGTGCCGGGCACATAGGGTGCTCAGATGAACGGAAGTGACTCAAGTCCAAACTGAAATAAATATGAGTGAAAGGAGCCATCGTTTCTTCCTGAAGAAGCATAAACAAGCAAAATGTGACGATGGGCAGGTTTGGGGAAACATCCTCATATAGTCAGGGCAAGAAGAATGATCTAGAACACGCAGTGTGAGTAGAAAGGACCAGAGGCCCACCTGCTCTGCCGCCGCGGCGCGGGCACCTGGTGGGCTGCAGGAGGGCTTCCACGGAGGAGCTGGGCCGAGTCTGTTCTAATCCAGATGTTCCCACTTGTCGTCCCCCCCCTCACCCCCCCTGCCCAGCCCAGCCGGCCGCCAGTCCTTTCTGGGGCCTGGGAGAGCCGCTCCTTTGCCGCCTCATGCTCCGGCCGCCGAGGGACATCTGGACGTCTGGGCCCTCTCTGGGCTATGGCGGGAAGACAGGGCTGGCCCTGGGCAACCATTACCGAAGGCCACAGGAAGCAGCCCAGTCTGAGCCTGGGGATTGGGACAGATTTCACTGTCCAGGACAGTAGCACCAACCAGGAGCAGGGAGCACAGGGCCTGGCGTGAGGCGGAATGAAGCCCTGAGTCCCCGCTCAGGCTGCACCAGCCCAGGGGCCTGGGGCAAGCCGCCTACCTCTCCACCCTAGTGTCTCCATCCGTGAGAGGGAGATAACAACAGCAAACAGCGCCTAACTCAGAAGGGTTTGGGGTGCGCGGAGGGAGGACGCGTGTACATTGCTGGGCACAGTGCCCTGCGCAGACCTGGTCCCCTTTGCCGGTTACTCTTCTCACTGGGAAGCCACTTTACCTCTCTATTGTGTGAGTTTCCTCCTCCTTAAACGGGGAGTCTGGAAGGACGAAGTGTGACCCCCGGTGAAGCCCCGGCACGGTGCCTGGAAAGGAAGCCCCATAACCCGGCTCCCAGCCCTGGTCAGCCCCTGTCCTTTTCTCTCTGCCGCACTGCATAGGTCAGTTTGTGGAGGAGACTTAGGAAATGATTGTAGAACTGCTGGATATGCCCATCTCTCTGTCCCTGTCTCCAAGTTCCTATATTCGGGACCAAAAGCAGAGAACCCCCAAACTGGCAACCGCAGAACCGGCACTCTTACTTTACAGATGAGGACACTAAAGAACAGAGAGGGTCAGGCACTTGTGCAGGATCTCACAGCCAGTCAGTAGCAGAGCTGGGCTGGGGTGATTTCCTGTCCCTACTGCCCAGAGCAGTGTCCACAAAACCCCCTTGCTGGCTGCTTTCAAACTCTCTCCTTTCTGGCCAATCTGAACTCACCTTTCAGCCTGTGCCTCTTTAGCAGCTAGAGCCCAGGGATAGGTGGCCAGCCCCAGCACCCCTGGAGCAGAGACTGCTCCGCTGGGGGAGGGCAGGGAGGGGCGCAGCGTGGGCCGAGAATGCGGGCTGCTCCGGGCCAGGCGGCTGACAGAGGAGCCAGTGTGCCCAGACATTGCGGCTTTGTGAGCTCGGAGCTCCTGTGTGGGGAAGGTTGTTTTGTTGACCTGCCATTGTTTCAGGTTGACTGAGTGGCAGAGTCTTAGCGCCCAGAGGCCAGCTCTTTGGAACCAGCTAGGGTCTTGGGCAGAGGGCGGCAGCCAGGGCACCCTCATCTGGAACAAGAAGGGGAGGGGGCTGCCTGGGCACCATGAGCACTGAGCAGGTCCCCCATGGGCAAGGCTGCTGAGGGAGGACACCAAGAGAGGAGAGAGGAGACGGTGCCCGTGTAGCTCGGGGTCCGAGCAGAGCAGCCTGGCCAAAGCGAGGATGGACAGAGGCAGGACAGGGCCATCCATGGGCTGGAGCCAGACCTGCCAGGAGCCGGGAGCCCTGAGGACCCAGCCATCAAACCTTAGTGCATGAAGGAAGACCAGGAGAATCCTGGGGGCCAGGATGGAGGTGTCAGAGGCTGGCCGGCTGGGGCGGGGTGGGCTAGAGCCACCGCTGTCCAGATGTGTGTGAGAGATAACTCTGTTTACAGGGCACCCAGTGGGAGCAGGGCGGGGGGGTGAGAAGGGGTTCCCGTGGCCCATGGGCGGGCAGATTAGGAGGCGGGGGCATGAGTCAGGGGTTTGCAAGCTACCCCTGGGGCAAAGGAGCGAGAACCTGGCGTTGTTAGAGCAGGTGAGAGCTCAGCTGGTGGCAGAGGGCACCAGCCGCTGCAGGAGTTCCTGGAGGGACCCCAAGGCCGCTGAGCAGGTAAGCAGGCCCGGGAGGAGCGGGGGTTGGTCCTGGGGTGCCTGTCGTGAGCGCTTCTGCAGGTGTCTATCCTAAAGCTTCGCCCAAGTGGGCACAGGTGCTTTGACCTCCAAGGGGGGTGCAGGTGGGTGTGGTGAGAACATTGCAGTGTGTGTTGTTGCCCCTAAGGGCACAGGCCGATTGGCACCTGTAGCTGAGGTGAGCAAGTCGGCCGATATTAAGAAAACTAGCTGGTATTAGGAAAAAGAGGTTGGCACGTGGCAGCAGAGGTGTGCGCGGCTGGTGTGTCAATGTGCGCCTGGGTCCCTGGCAGGCTCCTGTTTACTAGTCCCTCAGATCTCTCAGACTCAGGTCTCACCCCCAACCCCCTCTTTCTCCTGCCACCTCATCACGTTCTTAGGAGAAAAGTTGTCAATAGTTCTTCCTATTTGGGACATTTCTGGGAGTCTGTCAGGGAGACCTGGCACTGTCCTTGCTGTATGGGGGGGCTTGGGGGGAAAGGAGGAGTCCCTTCCCACCAAGGATCTCAAAGCCCTTAGGCTAATACTATGGGAACGGGAAAATTAGGAAGGGATGAAGATAGCAAGTCTAATCTCGATGCGCACTAGCAATGATAATGATGGTAAACGTTTACATAGAACTCCTTACGTGCAGGCGCTATTTTAAATGCTGTGTACACACGATCTTAGGGCTATAACAGGCTGATGAGGCAGATATTATTATTACCCTGTTGTATAGATGAGAAAGCTGAAGTGTAGAGAGGTTTAGTCACTTGCCTGGGGCCACATAGTCACACAGTTAGTAAATGGCAGGGCTGGGATTTGAACCCAGACAGTCCACGCTCTTAATCACTAACACTAAACCAGCTGATAGCTGTTTTCTCTTCTGGGGGCATCTCTGTCTAATGGTTAGAGACATAGCTAGAGTCAGGTAGGCCCAGGTTTAATTCTGTCTCTGAAGCCTATGCACTAGGGGACCGAAGTGGGCAAGCCTCTTTGAACGTCACCTTTCTCATCTGTAATACGGGGCTAATGACATTACCCACTTCACAGAGTGGTTTGGGATTATAAGAGATTACACAAAGGCGGTGCTAAGTCACCGGGGAGCCCTCTCTGTCATCTGATCACCAGCCCCCTGCCCCCCCCCCATCTCTTCCAGCTGTGCTCCACCTTCCGGGCTACAGATGCCCCACTCGCCCTTATCTAGCCCGCGCCGGCTGGCCAGCCGGGCGTTTGGTGCGCTTCCAGGCACAGGGCAGCGATCGGGCCCAGGCTCTTATCAGTGTGAGGCAGAGCAAGGCCTGAAGCTGCGGGACCGCTGGGCGGGGCGGTGGCAGCAATCTGGGCTGTGGCTGCCCCTTCAAAGGCCCTGGATGAGCACAAGACAACTCCGTTCTCCCCTCTTCTCAGAACCCCAGTAGGAAGGCCCTCCTGCTGTATGGATGGAACGACCGAGACTTAGAGCAGCAATTGTCAACCGCTGTGCCCCAGCACGCCGCTGCGCCGCGAGAATTTTTAAAACGTGCCATGCCTGGCGATTCAGTCAGCGGCACTGACCTCTTTCCCCTCAGATTGTCAGATAAAAAAATGACAACAGCCAGCACAACAATAGCCACTGGTGTGAGTGAATCGGAATTATACCTAATTTTTTTGTCAGATTGGCAAAAAATGTTTTTTTTGGTGTGCCACAGAATTTTATTAATTAGTTTCCGTGTGCTGTGAGATGAAAAAGACTGAAACTCGCGGCCCTAGAGAGAGTCTGGGAGCTGCCCACGGCTGCTCAGCTGAACCCCTGGGTCCTCTGGTCCTGGGGGGCCCCTCTGACCACCCCACTTGTCCCGTGGGAAGCAGGCCAGGGTCCCGGCCCCATGGGTGGGACTCCTGCCGCCTAAGGTTTAACACCCTTGGGAATTCCAGGGATCTGGGGCCCAGGCAGAAGCAAGGCTGGAGAAGGAAGAAGGAGAAAGATGGAAGAAGGGGCAGGCAGAGAAACCTGCGGAGAGGGGGACAGGAAGGGACAGACGAGGGAGAGAAAAGCTACGTGATCAGGCTCTCCAAGGGGCAAGTCCTACGCAGTAGGGACAGTCCCATGCTCAGGCTCCGGGACATTCCCGTGGCCATCACTTGCCCTACCCCGAGCCCAGAGCACGGACCCCTCCCTTTCTCAGTCAATGGGTCATGCCCCTCACCCTGTCTCTAAGGACTGCAGAGCCTTCCATTCCTTAGAAAGAAAGTTCTTTGTATAATTCTTTCTGTATTAGTCCTGGCTCTGCGCCTTGCCCACCATTTCTCACACCTGGGCTATCCCTCTCTACCGCTCAGCCTTTCAAACCCTCCCTGTGCGTCTAGGCCCAGCGCCGGCGTCCCCTCCTCCAGAGACATTCCATCCCCAGTCCCGCCAACGAGTCCTACTCTTCTTTCTGCCACACAGGTCCTCGGCACCCAGCACACACGGCTTATGACTTGGGTTTGTCTGAGGGACACGCTATCTCCTGAACCACCGAGCCTGCCATGTATTCTTGGCTTGTCTCCCAGTCAGGGCTGGGAGCTTCTTGAGAGCAGGGACAGGGGCTTGTTCATCTCCGCGTTCCATTGCTCAGCGCCATGCCGGCGCAGAGGGGGCACACTCGTCAAATTGGCCCATTCTCGGTTGCCACAATGCCCTGTGCTGCAGTGGGTGAGCGGGGAAAGGAACCCCCTCCATACACAGCCTGAAGCCGCCCCGGGGGACCTCCGCCCTCCCCTCGGGCGTGTCCTCGCATGTCCTCGCATACCGTCCCCTCTGCTAGGGACACAACTGGGGAAATGGAGGCACAGGACTCTGGGGTCTCTGGCTGGGTCTTAGGCATACTGATTCTCCAGTCCCAGAGCCCCACGCCTGCGAGGGGGATGCATTTTTACATTCATTCAACATGTATTTATTAATAAATACTATGTGAAACCATTCTGTTAGGAGTGGGGAATTCAGTGGGGGCTGAGACATGCAGGGTCTTTGCCCTTTTGTGTCTTCCCTTCTAGAGAAAACATCAGACAATATACATACAAATGAATCAAGAAACCAGAATATGACAAATTTTTATTTATTTATTTATTTATTTATTTATTTATTTTTAGAGAGGGGGAGGCAGAAAGAGTCAGAGAAAAACATCAACGTGTGGTTGCCTCTCGCACGCCCCCTACTGGGGGCCTGGCCGGAACCCAGCCCTGTGCCCTGCACTGGGAATACGAACCCGCGAACCTTTGGTTCACAGGCCATCACTCAATCCACTGAGCCACACCAGCCAGGGAGGAAAATGACAGATTTAGTTAGTGCATGTTAGAGTGGTCGGGGAAGGAATCTGAAGCAGTAACATTTGAGCTGAAATGTGAGGTCTGAGGTGTGGGGGGAGGGGCATCCTGGACTGGACAACTGTACATGCAAAGGTCCTGGGGCAGGAAAGGGCTGGGTAAGGAGGCCAATGGGATAAGTGGGGCGAGAGGCAAAGAGACACAGTTCAAAATAAGGTGGGAGAGAGAAGTAGGGCCACTTCGTCAAGGACCCGTGAGCCGCTCTCCAGGATGCTCCAGCCCCATGTCCAGCGTGCGACAGTGATTTCTGGAAACAGACAGTGTGTTGTGGAGACTCTAGGAGGAGCTAAGCCCCTTGAAAAGGGGACAGGATGGCTGAGTCCTGGGGATGGGCAGGAAAAGAAGCCAGGCGAGGACAGGGAATGGAAAAGGAGTCAGATTGGAAGGACACGCCCACCATTCCCAAGCACCTCAGCCAGCCGGGCTTCTGTCCCCACACTGCCCCATCCCTCCTGGCCCCTGCTCACTGGTCCTCACATCCAGCTCCTTCCTCCAAGCCGCCCCACACGTCCTTCCTCTGACCCCACTGTCTCCCAACACCTGGGCTCCCCTTCGTTCAAACGCAGGCCCCTCTGGGAGACCCCAGGACGCCCTGTGCCCCATTCAGCCTGTGCCCCTCTCCTGCAGGGACCCGCCGCGCGGGTTATGCTGGGGACTCAGATCCCTGCGGATAATCGGTCAATCAGGACGGCACCATGGCGGATTTGCAGGTGAGTCTTTTGAGACATCGGCTGGGCTCCTACCTGGGAGCTCTGGGAACTTGGCCCTGAACTCCTACTTTCGTGGGAACTCAAGGAGCCCCTCCCAGCCCAGCCCTGATGGCCACTTCCCACAGGAGGATTACGAAGAGGGGCTGGGAGAGATTCTAGAGGAGGAGGAGTATGAAGACGCAGGCGTCCCCGCGCCCCAGGTGGAGGAGCCCGAAGGTGAGCCGCGTCTCTCCCTCTCTGCTGGGGTGAGCTGCTGAGCCCAATGGGGACACTTGGGGAGGGAACTTGTCCTCCCCCCTTCTCTGAACTCCTTCCCCGCTGCCCCAGCCCCAAGGCCAGCTCTCCCACAATCTCGGCTGATTGAAGGATAAACAGAGTTTTGTTTGAAATGATCACAGGCGGGGACTGGGGGCAGCGGGCAGACCAGTCACCCGTCACCGTCACCATTGCCATGCCCCTCAGACTGAGGAGAGGGCAGCCAGGCCTGTCTGGGACGGTGGCAGGAGCCCACATGCCACCTGTGCCCATCCGATGCTGGCTTCTCGGCCAGGCCTTGGCCCTGGTCTGGGAACACTGCTCTGTTTGGGGGTCCAGAGATCCTGGAAAATGGGGGGCCTTGGGGACCCCCAGGGCAGAGAGACATCAGGAAACCTTCCTGGGCCTGTCCAAGGTCTTAGTTGGGGAGCCCCGGGCAGGCACCTATTTACTGTCAACAGGACTTAAGTGCAGGCAATTGGTATTGAAGATAAGAGGCCCCTCTGGGAAACGAGGCCTGGGGTGGGGGGGTGTGGGGACAATATAAGGGCAGACCCCACCCTGGTGCCCAGAGCTCAGCTTGGAGACGGGGAGAAGCCATGGGCTGGCAGGACTGTTGAGGCGGGTGAGAAGGACGGGAACTGGTCCCAGAAGGCGGCAAGAAGGGGAGGTGACCCTAAGGGAATCCTGGAAATTGCCAGTCAGGTCTCCCCAGTCACCTTGGAGATGACCCTCCTGATTGTCACTGAGGATGAGTCCCCGGGCCCTCACAGTGCTAGTGACAGACCCAGGCAGAGCCAGGGACAGGCGTGGGGAGCCATAGCCCATAGAGTGGCAGGGGTGGGTGGGGGGTATGAGGGTCCCAGTGGGACATTATGCAGCACTGGCTTCTGGGGCCGACGGCGGGTGGTGCAGGATTGTCTGGGGGCAGCACTAACCGCCTCTGGGTTTTCAGCTCATGTCACCGAGCCGACAGCCACAGACTACCACACCACATCGCAGCCAGGCACCCACGAGGTGAGGACCCCCTGCCTCCCCTGTTCTTCTTGTATGACCCTTGGGACCCACCATTCTCCCAGGGGAAGCGAGGGATGAGCGTAGCTTCAAATGGGCCACAAACAGGCTGAGAAGGAGTGGGGGTTCTGGGAAGCTGGTGGCAGGGAAGAAGACAGCCCCCACTGTGCAGAGAGACCTGGGCCCCCTTTCACGGAGGAGGGGGTTCGCAGGGCGGAGAGAAACTGGCCGCCAGAGGTCGGCGTCCGCAAGCCCTGTGCCCTGGCTGGGTGGCCGGAGTTCCCTGGGGAGCACGGAAATGAATAATGTTCTCCTCTGCCCAGGCCCCCACATCCCCCCTGGGCCCCCAGACTGTCTAGCCAGCTAGGAAATTTGTCCTGCCCTCAGCTAGGCCTTTGAGAGTGGTCACCCGATTCCAAAGAAACCCAAGAACAAGCAGAACAACACTCACTCAACAATCTTGGAGGCAGGAGGTGACCCAATGACCTTTGGGTCATTTCCCTCTCCTTTCCTTCTAAGTGCCTGCTCTCGCACCTGTTTTGGTCAGGAGGGTCTCCAAACGCCTCTGAAATAGAGTCAGGGGCCTGGGCAGGAAGCTGAGGAACAGAGCCAGAAGGGTGGGCCGCACCTATGGGACCCTCGGGCATCTCCCCACACTTCCCATCTCACTGGCACTCCAGGCTGGAGCTCCGGGCTGTCCCTCTGAGCTCAGGACCTGCCCTGAAACGCTCCGGGGCCCCGGGCCTCCTACAGACACGTCTCAGAGTCTGCTGAGTGCCCGCCGTGCCCTAGGCTGCCCGGCTCCTCACAGCCCTGCCCAGGCCTGATGGGCTAATTCGGGTCTTGGGGCCGCAGGTCTACGTGGAGCTGCAGGAACTGGTGATGGACGAGAAGAACCAGGAGCTGCGGTGGATGGAGGCTGCGCGCTGGGTGCGGCTGGAGGAGAACCTCGGGGAGGGCGGGGCCTGGGGCCGCCCGCACCTGTCTTACCTCACCTTCTGGAGCCTCCTGGAGCTGCAGAGAGCCTTCGCCAAGGGTGAGCCCTGAGGGGCCCCTCTGCAACCCCCGCGAGTGGGGCTTGCCAGGAGGAGAGGGGCCGCGGTCCGGCTGTCTAGCTCACCCCTCTGTGGCCCGCAGGGTCTGTCCTCCTGGATCTGGCAGAGACCTCCCTGGCCGGAGTGGCCAACCAGCTGCTGGACAGGTTTATCTACGAGGAGCAGATCCGGCCTCAGGACCGAGAGGAGCTGCTCCGGGTCCTGCTGCTCAAACACAGGTACCCCCGTCTGCCTGGACCTGGACTCTGCTCCCAAAGGGCCCGCCTTCCCAGCCGGCCTGCCCCGGGCCCTCCCTGGGAGTCCAAATGCGCACTCCCACCCCCCAGCAACTGCCAGGTTGGGGCCCACTTTTCTCCCAGGATAGCTCCTGCCTCTGACACTTCCTGAGGCGTGGCCGTGTCTCCATGCTTAGATTTGGGGACCGCTGGTTCCCAGGAGGACAGACCCTCAAGGCTCTTCCCTGCATTCATTCTTCTGGCTCCATCTAGTCATTCCGGACAGAAGCCACCTGCTTACACCTGCAACATCCTTCAGAAGAGGCTGATTCCCCTGCCCCGGGAACTCTCCAGTCTGGTCCCGGGAAGGTCCTAGTTGACCCCTCCCACCAGCAGTTCTCTGCTAATAGCCCGACCTGCACAGCTTCCTCAGCCCGCGTCCCCTTTGTGTCCCGCAGCCATGCCGGAGACCTAGAAGCCCTGGGGGGTGTGAAGCCCACGGTCCTGACGCGTTCTGGTGGCCCCTCAGAGCCCCTGCTTCCCCAGCAGCCCTCGCTGGAAACTCAGCTATTCTGTGAACAGGTGAGGCCGTATGAGGGCCGCATGCGGAGAGCCGAGCCGGAAGCCTCCACCTGAACGTGGTTGGAAAGGAGCGCAGGGAGGGGAGGGGGAAGCTGGATGTTCCCCTAACCGCCCTCCTTCCAACAGGGAGAGGGGGGCACGGAAGGCCGCTCTCCATCTGGAATTCTGGAAAAGATCCCCCCAGATTCAGAGGCCACCCTGGTGCTCGTGGGTAGGCAGTGGTGCCCCTGCTCGCTCGCCCCTCTGCAGCCCTGCTTCTGCCTCCTGCCCCGGCCCGGCCCGCCTCTCTCTCTCCCCGGGCCCCCGCAGTGACCCCTCAGCCTGGCCCACCTACATCATGTCCCCTGCCCGTCCCACAGGCCGAGCTGCCTTCCTGGAGCGGCCAGTGCTGGGCTTCGTCCGGCTGCAGGAGGCCACGGAGCTGGAGGACGCTGTGGAGCTTCCCGTGCCCGTGCGCTTCCTCCTTGTGTTGCTGGGACCCGAGGCCCCTCATATTGACTACAACCAGCTTGGCCGGGCTGCTGCCACCCTCATGTCGGAGAGGGTAAGGGGGGGCGGGCGAGAGCTGGGGGAGCCCAGGAGCTGGGTGGCAGCTGAGACCCATCCTCCAGTCTGGACTGGCCTGGGTCGCTTTAGCTTCACCAGTTTGGCCCGTTCAGCCTAATAAAGCTGCTTCCGCCCCGAGTCGCCTGGCCCAGCCCTGCCCGACCTGGCCTGGCCTAACCTGGCCCACTCTGACATGGGTCGCCCTGGTCCAGTCTGGCCCGGTACAGCCTGGTCTGCTCTGGCTTCCTCCGGTCTGCTGTGAGCCACCTGGTTTGCTTTAGTTCTTTCCCCTCTCCCCATGCTGGGCCCTGTCTGCCTCCCCACACCAGTCCATGGTGGGAGGTAAAGGAGGCGGCCAACAAAAGTGGTTTCTAGCCAGAAGGAGTTGGGTGAGAGGGCTCCGCTACCCGGGGCCCCGGGCTGGGGACTCCTGGGTCCTTTCGCCCAGCAGGTCCCAGCAGCCCTGACGCTCTCTCCGGCCCCCAGGTGTTCCGCACGGATGCATACCTGGCCCAGAGTCGGGGGGAGCTGGTGCGCTCCCTGGAGGGCTTCCTGGACTGCAGCCTGGTGCTGCCTCCCTCGGACGCCCCCTCGGAGAAGGCGCTCCTCAGCCTGGTGCCCGTGCAGAGGGAGCTGCTGCGAAGACGCTACCTGCCCAGCCCGGCCAAGCCAGACCCCAGCTTCTACAAGGGACTAGGTACCTGTCCTGCCCAGCCCGAGGCTTGCTGGGCCCCCACGGGCCCTCAGACACCCCCTCTTCCCACCCAATACCCTGCTGCCCCCTCTCCCTGGCCTCTTGCTACCCAGCCCCCTTGGTTCCTATCAGGCGATACCCCCTCAACTCCCCTCTCCTCCCTCTCCCCCCTCCCCCTCCTACCCTCTATGACCATGGTCCTGTCCTTCACTACAGATTTAAATGGGGGTCCAGGGGCCGACGGTGGCCCAGATGACCCTCTGCAGCGAACAGGCATGCTCTTCGGGGGCCTGGTGCGTGACATAAAGCGCCGCTACCCTCGCTACTTGAGTGACATCACAGATGCCCTCAGCCCCCAGGTCCTGGCCGCCGTCATCTTCATCTACTTCGCTGCCCTCTCACCTGCCATCACCTTCGGCGGCCTCCTGGGTCAGTGCCTCTGTGCGCCCCGCTGTCCTCTGACCCTCTGGCCTCTGTGTGGGGCTGAGTTCTGATCTGATCTGTCACTCTGGACCCGTGCATCAGCCCGCGCATGAAATGCTCCCCTGGCCCACGGAGATGATCTCCCGACCTTGACCCCACTGCAACCCCTCCCCACAGGAGAGAAGACCCAGAACCAGATGGGGGTGTCGGAGCTGCTCATCTCCACTGCGGCGCAGGGCATCCTTTTTGCCCTGCTGGCGGCTCAGCCCCTGCTCGTGGTTGGCTTCTCAGGGCCTCTGCTCGTGTTTGAGGAAGCCTTCTTCTCGGTAGCTCCGTCCCGGCCCCGCGGTGACCCTGTAACTGGCCCCTGGCCGCCCCCCGCCCGCTGCACAGCGCCGGGCCCATCCGTCTGACCCCAGCCCCCTCTGACCGCCCGCAGTTCTGCAACACCAATGGCCTGGAGTACCTCGTGGGCCGTGTGTGGATCGGCTTTTGGCTCATTCTGCTGGTGGTGCTGGTGGTGGCCTTCGAGGGCAGCTTCCTGGTCCGCTTCATCTCCCGCTACACCCAGGAGATCTTCTCCTTCCTCATCTCCCTCATCTTCATCTACGAGACGTTCGTGAAGCTGGTCAAGGTGGGAGCAGAAACGAACCCAGGGGTGTGCCTGTGTGAGACTGAGCACAAACGATGCGCACATGTCTGTTCGGCTTTTGCGTGGCTGTGTTTTCACGGTACATGACTCTGACCCCACACATGCTGACACCTGATGCTGGTATTCTTGCCGTGACTGGGCAGTGTGACTGTGCGTGAGAGGGCCCCTCTATGTGCACATGTCCGTGTTTATAACCACACACAGAGTGACTGACGGGCAAGTACGTGAGTGAGGCTACAACGGGAAATTGCACGTGTGCTGGGGCTATTGAGGCTCTGAAGTCCGCCCCCTGCCGGCACTTACCCTCGATAACCGCAGGTCCCGTGGGTGGCACGCCCTGTCCCCTCAGCGCTGTCCCCTTAAACTACACCCGCCTCTGTGCCTGCATTTTACATGGAGGAAGGGTGGACACTGTATGTCTAGCCCTGATTCTGTCGGTTGGTGGGTCTTTCCAGGTCCCTGCAGCCCTGCACTGCAGGCTTCTCACGTCTCCCAGGCCCTGCGTGATCACACTCACACTCACGTACACACACACACACACACACACTCATCGCCTTCACGGCCCGCCCCACCCAAGCCTGGCCCGGTCCTCACTCCTAAAGACCAAGCTGTACAATCCCGTTGCCCCTCCGTTGCCACGTCAGTTGAGGAAGAAGATAGGCAGATGGGTGACGAAGGGATAGCGAGGTGACGGACAGAGGATGGGTGGGTGAAGGGAACCGGATGCCTTGGTTTTCTGCTGCAGATCTTCCAAGACCACCCACTGCAGAAGCATTATATGCACAATGTGACCATAGAGCCCAAACCTCTGGCTGCCCTGCCCAACACAGCCCTCCTCTCCCTTGTGCTGATGGCTGGCACCTTCTTCTTTGCCATGATGCTGCGCAAGTTCAAGAACAGCTCCTACTTCCCTGGCAAGGTCAGTACATCATCTCCACACGCCCTTGCCTACCCTACCCTATCTCCGCCCGAAGCACCTCCAGCTTCCCCAATGCCATTAGCTTCCCTCCTCACTCTGGCTTCTCCTTCTCCCCTGCAAACCTCCTGGGCCCCCTCCTCATCCAGGGTCTCGCTCTTCAGGCAAGGCCACCTCGATTCCTCAGCGTGGCCAGGCTGGGAACCCAATAGGGAGCCCCGGACAGTGCTTGGAAGGGGGTGGAGACACTGGGGAGCCGGGGTGGGGCAGGTCCAAAGGAAGAAGAAAGGAGGTAAGTACACTGAGGTGCAAAACAGGGCATTAGATGTTGAGAAATCCCCTGGGAAGAGGTGAGAGCCCTGGGGGAGGATGGGGCAGAGGTGGGAGCAAGTGGGAGGTGGGAAGCCGCTGGGCACTAACCTCTGGTCGCTCTGCCTGCCTTCAGCTGCGACGGGTCATCGGGGACTTTGGGGTTCCCATCTCCATCCTCATCATGGTCATTGTGGATTTCTTCATCAAGGACACCTACACCCAGGTGACCCTTTCCTTCCAACCGTTGTGTCGTTTCTCCAGCTTGCTCCTTCCCCAGGACAGCTTTCCCAGAGCTGAAGCCAGCTAGAACTACCCCTACTCCCTGCCTGCCTCCCCTGGGAACCCCACATTCTTCCCGCAGCCCTACAGGACCCCTCTGGCTGAAGCAAGGGCGTGGGTCAGTTTGCCCCCTTTACTCCTTAACCCAGGGTGGTAGGAAAGAATCTGCTTTAGTGCCAGGCAGATCTGAGTATGAATCTCATGCTGCCAGCACATAGTTGTGTGATAAGAGGCAGCTACATAACCTCTCCGACACTGTCTTCTTATCTATGAAATTGGGAATGAGATGTACTTAAAAGGCGTACTGTAGAGACCGGGTACAACGTAGGTGTGCAGTGTAAGTGAGCTCCCAAGTGTCCAGGACCCTCTCTCCCCTGTCTCCCCCTTTGCCCACCCCCCTGCCCCAGGGTTCTCACCAGCATCCACCACCTACAGAAACTCAGCGTGCCTACGGGCCTCAAGGTGTCCAACTCCTCTGCCCGGGGCTGGGTCATCCACCCACTGGGCTTGTATTCCAAGTTCCCCATCTGGATGATGTTCGCCTCTGTTCTGCCTGCGCTTCTGGTCTTCATCCTCATCTTCCTTGAGTCCCAGATCACCACGTAAGAGCCAGTGCGGGCCTGGGCCTGGGAGAGTCTGAGGTAGGGAAAGGGACAGGTTGCAGGCAGGGGAGACACCAGGGACTGATGCTAATTAGTCTCAGCGTGGCCCTCCCAACTCGCAGGAATGGTGGATGGGCAGGGGCAGGGGCAGGTTTTGTGGGACCTGACAATGCATAGTTTGGGGAGCCCTTTTAAAGAGGAAAACGCAAAATGAAAACTAGAAAATAAGGTGGCAGATCTTAGAAGGGGCTTGGACCAGCGGTGCTCCCTGGAGCCTGCACTCCCTTAGCTGCAGAGCAGACCTGTCTGTGGGCATCCTAGGGGATGTCTGAAGACATTTCTGCTCTTAGAGTTTGGATTCTCAAGACAGGGTGGGAGGGAAGGGAGCAGGGAACGCCAAGGGAGATGGGCACAGAGGGATAAACTGACATACCAAGAAACTCGAGGAGGGGAAGGGAGGAGGGAGCTGAGGGGGCGGGGCAGGGAGAGCCCCGCTTACCCCGGACCTCCCACCCCCCTAGGCTGATCATCAGCAAACCCGAGCGCAGGATGATCAAGGGCTCCGGCTTCCACCTGGACCTGCTGCTGGTCATTGGCATGGGCGGGGTGGCCACTATCTTTGGGATGCCCTGGCTCAGTGCCACCACTGTGCGTTCAGTCACCCATGCCAATGCCCTCACCGTCATGGGCAAGGCCAGCGCCCCAGGGGCTGCATCCCAGATCCAGGAGGTCAAGGAGCAGCGGATCAGCGGGCTCCTGGTCTCTGTGCTCGTGGGTGAGTGAGGGCTGGCCGCAGTCCCTACCACCCTCTGTCCCCGACCCTGGCCTCCAGCGCCTGCCTCTTAGGGTCCAGCCCCCTCCAGCCCTCCTGATACACCTGCTGCCCTTGTCTCCCTGGGGTGTTATTCACATGATAGAATTTGAGAGGAAAAGCCCAAGGCACTGAGATGGGCGTCTGAGCAGGGGAGGAAGGGGCGTCTCCTCCATTACTAAAGCGCTCTCTAGACAGAAGTTCAGTGAACTGTGGGTTCCAGCCGTACCCTGCTGCTAATTTGCTATCCCCTCTTGTTTCTGGGCCTCAGTTTCCCTTTCTGCACCACTGAAGCGTTCATTAGATGGTCCTGAGGCATAGACTATGCTCCAGGCATAGCCTGGGGCTAGGGGAGGAGGAGGCAGAGGGCCACTGAGGGTGACCCGAGTCTCACGAGGCCAAGAGTCCAGCTGGGCTTGGTGTGCGCAGCACCTGGTCGCGCACGGAGAGGCCCGGGAAGTTTCTGAAAGGAGGCGAAGTTGGTGTTAGCTAGCGGAGGGCTAGGACTTGGATAGGTGGGGTGAGAAAGCACGAGGGCTTTTCTGACCTCTGTGACCCCTCCCAGGTTAAAGGAGTAGGCTCGGAAGCCAGGCAGGCCAGGGCTTGACTCTCTGCTCTGCCGGTTATGAGCTGTGTGGCTCAGGCTAGTTGCTTCACCTCTCTGAGTCTGTTTCCTTATCTCTAAAATGGGGGTAATACCGCTTAAAAGGATCCCCAGAAAGGACTCCACACAGCCCCCGTGGTTTCGTTCCCTGGGCCCCACCGGTGCCGGCCCCCCAGGGCGCACGGGGCTGACAGTCCATGGCTCTCCCCACAGGCCTGTCCATCCTCATGGGGCCCATCCTGTCCCACATCCCCCTGGCTGTGCTGTTTGGCATCTTCCTCTACATGGGGGTCACATCCCTCAGCGGCATCCAGCTCTTCGACCGCATCTTGCTTCTCTTCAAGCCACCCAAGTACCACCCGGACGTGCCCTTCGTCAAGCGGGTACAGGGCCCGCCGGCTGCCCAGCCTGGGGCGGGGCGGGGGTGCTGGCTGCCGGGGGAGGGCAGATGATGACCGCGGCCTGTGCCCGCAGGTGAAGACCTGGCGCATGCACTTGTTCACGGGCATCCAGATCATCTGCCTGGCGGTGCTGTGGGCCATCAAATCCTTCCCGAGCACCTCCCTGGCCCTGCCCTTCATCCTCATCCTCACCGTGCCCCTGCGCCGTCTCCTGCTGCCACTCATCTTCAGGAAACTGGAGCTCCAGTGTGTGAGTGGCCGCTCCCCACATGCACCCCTCACGGCCTGGGGTGAGGGGAGGGCGCAGAGAGGCAGGACTCCAGAGCGGCAGAGGGCGGGCGCAGCAGAGGGCCTCGGAACGAGGGAAGGCAGAGCGCAGTGTGGATCAGGTCTGGACGTGGGGCCTGGGTTCGAATCCTGCCACTGCCCTGCCCTAGTGTAAGGCCTGGAACAAGCGGCCCCATTCTTCTCTGCCCTGGGTTTGCTCACCTGTGGAAGGAGCAACGGCAGCGCGGGTGGGAGGGTGAAGAGGCCCACAGGGCATGTTCCGCCGGAGCTGTCCCAGCCACTGGGTGGCTGGTCCTGGGGTCTTCCCAATCGCTGTGGAAGAGTCACCCCTCTAGTAGAATTCTTCGAAGACGTGATGCAGGTCACTGTGGGCTGCCTTGGTGAAGGAGCCCCCTGCCCGCACTCTGGTGGTCTGCCCCTGCAGAGGGCATCAGATCCCCAGGGGCCCCCCACCCTTTGGGCATCTCCCGTGTTGATCAACCCTAGGGGCTGCTGGGCAGGACTCGTCCAAGGTTCAAAGAAAGCCAGGCATTTCCTAACTCCAGAGGTACCTCTTGGCAGTGGGGCAGGGCTCACCTGGCCCCCGGGCCGCTCACCCTCTCCCCTCCCTCCCCCCGCAGCTGGACGCGGACGATGCCAAGCCAAGCTTCGATGAGGAGGAAGGGCGGGATGAATATGATGAAGTGGCCATGCCCGTGTGAGGGGGAGCACCTGGGCCCCAGGTGTCTCCTCCGCTCCCTGCTCTGCTCTCTCAGGACACGTGGAAGCTCAGGGGCAGCTCAGGGACCCCCAGGTCCCTCCTGGGGCAGCAGCTGAGGCCCCGGAGCTATGGGTGGGGCAAGGATGGGTGTCTAGGAAAACTTCCACAATGGGTAGACTGGCTCTTCTGGCTGGAAACGGGCAGCAGAGCCCATGTTAGGGCGTTCGCGATACGGTGCTTCCTGCTGCCACAGTGCCACCTGGGGATGCCCTGCTAGGGGACTTAGATCAGAGCCCTGCGTCCTTGTGACAAGGACAGGGGCAGCAGTGAGGGAGGGAGGTGGGAGGATGGGTTCAAGTTCCTGCTTGCTGTGTGACCCTGGGCAAGTCCCTTAACTTCTCTGGCCTCTGCATGTCTTCTGTAAAATGGGTATTTTGATAATAACATCCCCACTGCAGGGTGGTCACTGAGGACCAAAGATAAATGTAAACAAAGGGCTTTGTAAACTCTGAAAGGACCTTTAGGCTGTAGTCATTGTTCTTTTTCAAGCCTGCCCAAGGTCACACAGCTCCTGAGCTGTGCGGCTGGGGGTTGAACCAGGTCTCCTGATTCTGAGGCCAGAGAGAGATCTGGGCCCTGCTTCAGTCGACCACCTCCCCATGCGTTTAGCGATGGCCCTGCTGGCTGCCCCTTCCCCTTCTCAGCCCCCACCCCCTACCGAGGGACCCTTTTCTCCAGAGCAGAGACAGGTGTGGGGGCAGACAAGGTGTGGGGGAGGAGACAGGGAGGCGCTGCAGGACTCCCACGTGCTTGCTCCCTCCCCCGCTGCTCTCACTCACTCACTTGTTCATTCGTTCCACAAACATTTACTGAGCCCCTGGACCCTGTGGACACAGAGGGGACTGAGACAGGAGCGGGGAGTGAGGGACAACTCACAGCCTGTTCTCGATTTGGATGGGGGGTGGGGGAGGAAGGAGATGGGCTGGGAGAAGGGAAGGAAGTTTGTGGTTTATTGCTTGTGTATTTTCTCAGAGCTATCATTGTATTTTGGCTTCACACATACCCAGACCCCCCATTAGAGGCCCACTGCCCCCAAACCCACCCAAGCCAATTCTTGAGGAGAACCCAGATTTACCAGTTGGGGTAGGAGACAGTGGGTCCTGCAGAATATGGGCAAAATCTATTTAAAAAAAAACAAAAACCCAAACATCCCTGACTGGTATGGCTCAGTGGATTGAGTGCCAGCCTGCGAGCCAAAGGGTCACTGGTTTGATTCCCAGTCAGGGCACAGGCCTGGGTTGCAGGCCAGGTGCCCGGTAGGGGGCGCTCAAGAGGCAACCACACATTCTCCCTCTCTTCCTCCCTTTCCCTCTCTCTAAAAGTAAATAAATAAAGTCTTTTAAATATATCTATAAAAAGAGTTGCAAGAACTGGAAACGCGGTAAGAGATGGTTGAAACTGCGTGAGTCACAGCGTGAGAGGAAGGAAAGGGGGTTTCGGACTCCTGATGGAGAGCCCGTGGGTACATCCCCAAAGGCTGCCCGCTGTTCCCACGACTTCACTTTCTCCGCTTCTGTAACCCGGGAACCCAGTCTCCAGGGTTGTTATAGGATTAACTGAGAGCACTGGTAAAGCTTTTAACACAAAGCCTACCCTCAGGCCTCAGAGGAAGAGCTCCATAAATGTTAGCTGCTGGTTTTGTGATTCTGCCTGGGATGTCCCTGTCCCCTCCGTCCCCCTGCACCTGGTGCGCTGGGAAAGAAAATCGCCCACTCTGCAAGCACCGCTGCCCTCCATGCCTGGGAACAGGTTTGGCCGATAAGCGCACCCGCGGTGGAGTGACCCCTCGCGGGAATTCCCCTCCCGAGTCAGGGCTCCAAGGGGTCTTGGCTGGTCCAGGCGGGCGCGGTTGTGAGGTGTGGAGCTGGCACAGGGCTGCAGCCCTGCGGGGCTGGGCGGGGAGAGCCAGGCTGGGGGCGGCTGTGGGGCTGGCGGCCCCCGAGCTCTGGGAACGAAGAGGGCCCGCACAGAGCGAGTGGCGGAGAGCAAGGCAAGACATGTTCACCCTCAAGACATCCCTCCTCTCCAGAAGAAGCACGAGCCACACGTGTGGGAGAGGGACTGTAAAGGGCCTGGTCTCTGCCTCTTGGACTGTGGACCACACGTGCCCTTGAACAGTCCGTCCCTGACCCTGGACTCTTCAAGCCAGGCAACTTCTCTGAGAGGGATCAACAGAGAGGAAACGTAATTGGCTGTCAGTCACACAGGAACAGCATCTCTTGGCCAGCTTCCCACTGACCCCCGCTCTGATCCCCCTGCAGACTCTGTCCCCACAACCCCAGTCCCCTGCCCTCTGCCGCTTTGAGCAATTCCAGGGAGCTGCTGGGCCAGGTGTCAACCAGGACTGGAGAAGAAGATGCCAGGACATACTCCCTCCCCACCCTCCCCAGCCTTCCAGTGAGAGGTTGGTGCAGGGCTGGCCTGCCTGGCTTCCTTCCCTGGATCTATATTTACTTGCTGCCTATCCCCAGCTGACCCCTCCCAGGCTGGCCAGGACAGCCGCCAAGAACTAGAGAGCTACTGGAGCCCCAGGCGATCCCAGCCACCCACCTCCCACCCACAGCAGCTTCCCACTGTGTCCCAGTGCATAGGCCCTGTCCTGAGCTTGCCAGTACCCGGATCCCAGCCTTGAACCAGGAAAGCAGTAGAAAAGTGAGGACCACAGAAATCATTCGGGATCTGACTTCCCGCCTGGCTTGAGGCCTCGTTCCTGCTGCATTTCCTGCCCTTGCCCTGATGCACGGTCCCCTCTCCCTGCATTTCCTCTCATGGAAACTCCCTCACCCCAAATTAACTGCCATACTGAGGTCCACACTTCTAGGTGAACACAAAGTGACCACACTCTTGGTAAGGGAATAGTTCAACAGAAGCAAAAATCTCTAAACCTGAAGATATTTTTTACAGGACTCTCTATGAAAGCAAAATACTAGAAAGAATCCAAATTCTCACAAACAGAAGAGCAGTTAGTAAATTACCCCACCTCAACAGAATGGACCACAGGCAGGTCTTAAAAATAATAAGGATGATGAAGAAGCTGTTGGATCAGTTTGGCACAATCAAGCGGGGTATATGAAGCCGAGGGGTCTGGAATTCCAGCTTTGTGATTTAGTAGAAATTGGACAAAGAGCCTCCTCTCTGAGTTCAGTTTTCCACATCTGTAAAATACGGACAATGAGATTAGAGACCTAGAGGGCCTAGCCCAGGACTGGCATTTGGTGAACAGAAGTTTATTCCTGTTGTGTAAGCAAGGCACAAAGTCGCATAGCTTTCATGGTGACAGCTATGCAGAAAAGTATAGTGTGCACAGGAATGAAGGTTAGAGGCTTAGACAGAAGAAAATTAAAGTACCATGGTGGTAGAGTTATAGAGGGTATCAATTTATCCTTTTGGACTTCAGGTGCAGTGTTAAGCATTCTCCTCCGTTGAGAGTAATTATCATTCAGCACTAATGCGTCCTTCCTTTCTTCTTTCCTTTTTCCTTCCTTCCCTCCTTCCTTCTTTTCCTTCCTTCCTTCCCTATTGTCCTGATTTCCTACTTCTATTTTCTCCCCTCTCCATAGACTATGGCTCAAACATTTTTAATGTTCATCTTCTTGTGTGAATATGTTCCTGAAAATATTTATCATTGATATTGTTTTAAATTTATTATAAAAGATTTACTACATACACCAAAGTAGAAACAACGGTACAATAAACCCCTATACACTCATCTCTCAGACTCAATAATTATCCAGATTTTGCCCTGAAGATTTGCTTAAATCTTTGCCTAAAATATATATTTGTTTCCATTAAAGTCTTTCCCATACGTCATGCCATTTTACCCCTCTATGTTTCAGCTATGCATTCCCTCCAACGCTGAACATTTTCTTACCTAACTGTAATATCATCATCACACCCACCAAAATTAGCAATAATACCTAACATTCAATTTACAATCAAATTTCTTAAAATGTCTCCTTGCAGTTGGTTTGTGATGTGTGTGTTTGTGTGTATTTCCATATGTTATCAGCACTGTGCTGCAGGCCTCGCTCCACTGGGCCTCTTTCCACCCCGCACTGTGGGGGTCGCCAGCCAGGCTGCCCTGTGACCATGGAGTTGCTGTAACTGCTGTGTGGTGCTCCGTGGGGCATCCCCCACCCTCGGCCTCTCTGCTCCCCCAGGGAGGGACCCCCACCGCCCCCGGTCCCCTCCCGCAAACACGGCTGCAGTGCTGTCCTCAAATGGATCTGGTGAGAATTTCTTTGGGTTATATATAGGAGCCAGGAGCGGATTTACTAGGTCATAGGGTATAAATATTTCTGTTTGACTAGATATGGCCATATCTTTCTCTACAATGTCTGCACCAGTCCACGCTCCCACCGGCAGTGCAGGAAATTCCTATATTCCCAAGTGAGTGACACTATCCAGATGTCCGATTTTTGCTAATCTGACTGAGGTATTATCTCATTATTGTTTTATTTGCATTCCTCTGATCTCTAAAGAGTTGAAGCATCTTTGCATTGATGATTATTCTTTAACATTTACTGTTATATAGGTTGCCTTTTCATATCATTTGGTCGTACTTCAACTGAGGTTGATGGCTTTCTGATGTTGATTTACAAGAGATCCTGGAAGATTGCGTCCTTCGTTGATTTTAGCCCTCGCAAAAACATTCTCCCATTTTGTCATCTTGCTTTTGACTTTGTCTACCTCACTGAACAGAAATCTGTCCTGCCAATGTAATTAAATATACCCAAGAGCAAGAGTTTGGACTTGATCTAGTAGGCACTAGGGAGTCATTGCAGGTTCTTGAACTGGGGAAGGACAGGAAGCGATTCACTTGGGAGCTATATACAGGATGCACTGGCTGTGAGATGGCAAACTGGGAACCTGCGTGTGAGTCAACAGCACGCGTCCAAGGAACGTCCTGAGGATAAAGTTGGTGAAATTGCTCAGCAAAGTCAAATGACATGGTGGAAAGCCTCATGGGTTGGCTGGCCACGTCGTGCTTAGGAAAGGTGTTTCTTGCTCTAACCGATGTGGCTCAGGTGGTTGGGTGTCATGCTGCGAAGTGAAAGGTCGCTATTCAGTTCTCCATCAGGGTATGGGCCTGGGTTGCGGGTTCGGTCCCTGGTTGGTCCCCGGTGAGGCAGCCATCTCACATCGATGTTTCTCCCCCTTTCTCTATCCCTTCCCCTCTCTCTAAAAATAAATATAAATAAAATCTTTAAAAAGAAAGAAAGAAAGAGCCCAGGCTGGTGTGGGTTAGTTGGTTGGAGTGTCATCCCATAGACCGAAAGGTCACCAGTTTGATTCCTTATCTGGGCACATGCCTGGGTTGTGGGTTCGATCCCTGGTAGGGGTGCATAGCAAAAGGCAACCAATCAATGTTTCTCTCTCTTTCCCTCTTTCTCCCCACCCTCATAAAAAGCAATGAAAACAAAAATGTCCTCGGGTGAGGATAAAAAAAATTAAAAAGAAAGAAAGTTGTTTCTATCCCAGCCACCTGGGCCCCATGCCAGGTGACAGGAGGTGAGGAAGGAAGGGCTGGTAAGGAAGCAGAAGCAGGAGGTGTGGGCCGTGGGCCGGGAGCTTGGCAAGAACAGGACAGGAAGAGAGCGTCCAGCTGACCTTTTTCCAAGACGGACCAGAGAATGCTTTGCAGGCTGAGAGGACACAATCATAGGCATGCAACCATCCCTCTCTTCCCTATAAAACATATCTTTACATGTTCAAATTTCAAAAAGGATATATGCATATTATAAAACACTTCAAATTATGGAACTATTTAACACAGAGAATAAAAGCCTCCAATAACCAGCCCCTCCAGTAGCCCAGTAAAACTGTTCATAATTTAGAGTATACTCCTCCAGATTTATTTATATGTAACACTAATTTACATATATATTTTAGTAGGGCATATATCATTTTTAACAGAGTTTCAAGTACCTAAAACAAAAACTAATGGAACTGGAAAGAGATATAGATAAATCCACAATCATAGTAGGAAACTACAGTCACTCTCTCAATAATCCATAGAACAAGTAGACAATAAATTATTAAGGCTATAGAACAGTGAAGAGCAGTATCAACCTACTTTGCCTAATTTATATTCCTAGAACGTTCCAACTAACAATAGCAAAACACACATTCTCCTCAACTGCACATGGATCACTCATCAAAATAGACCATATTGTGGGCCATAAAACAAACCTTAGCAAATGTAAAAGAAATGAAATCATAGAAAGTATACTCCATGTTCACAACAGAATTAAATTAGAAATCAATATCAAAAAGA